CAGTGGAAGTCTATATGAATTAGCTAATAGAGGCATAATGGAAAATCTCAGAAACATGCTGAATGAAAAAAGCCAGATTTTTTTTTCTTAAGTACTATGTGATTACATTTACATGAAACAGTGGAAAAGACTAACCTGTAATCCCAGTCATTCTAAGAAGAATAACTAACCTTTCTTCAGTAGTTGCATGTGCCCCCAAGTGTGCCTTTTATAACTGAATTCAGGGAACAGTGGCTTGATTTTGAACTTTAGTGACAGAAAAGAAGGTCTGTGATAAATACAGTTTGAAAACTCTTTTCAGAATGTTCCCCCCCTCCCTCCCGCCCCCGAAGAGCTTTGTACCACAAGTCACTATCAAAAGAATGATTTTAAGTAGATTGAGACAGATTTAGTGCTGGTGCAGCTATGATTTAGCTTTACTGAGAACTCAGACTTGGTCATTGATTAGTAGGTTCTGCCTATCTGTTGGAAACCTCTTTGGCATCTGGGGTAGAATTTCAGATCTTACTACCCCTCTCCGCACCCAAACACCCCAAATTTACCAGGTCCTTCAGAGTCTCTAGTAAGGATGTTCATTTTTACTTGATTTTGGGGTTTTTTCTTTGCATTTCCATGACTCCAACAACTTGAAATTGTTAGTACTTGCTTCTTTTACTTATATATTTAAATTGTTATTTAAAGATATAATATGTAGAAAATTGCATAGACCATAAATGTACATTTAATACAAAATTATAAAGCAAGTGCTTGAGTAACTACCACCTAGATCAAGAGGTAGAATATTATCAGCATTCCAAGAGCCCTTGTGCATCTCTTCGTAGTCTTAATTCCTGCCCTCAGCCATAGAGATAACTACTTTCCTGGTTTGTATTATAATTTTCTTGCTTTACTTTTACACTTCCTCATGCATCTCTACACAAAATAGTTTAGTTGAAGTGTTTTTTTTTTTAACTTGTTTTTGAAATTCATATAAATGAAGTATTTCCATGTGCATCGTTTTGTCGTCAGTAACATGGCAGTGAGAATTGACCAGTGTGTGGGATGAAGCTGCCGTTTATTGTAGTATTCTTTTGTATGAATGGAGTACAGTTCATTTTTTTTCAGTTTTTTATTGAGGTGTAGTTGATTTACAATATTTTGTTAATTTCTGCTGTATAGCTAAGTGACTCAGTTATACACACTTATATGTTCTTTTTTATATTCTCCATTGTGATTTATTTAGGATGTTTAGTTCCCTATGCTATACAGTAAGACCTTATTGTTTATCCTTTTTATATGTAACAGTTTGCATCTACTAACTCTAAAGCCCCAGTCCAGCCCTCCCCACCCTCCACCCCTTTGGCAGCCACAAGCCTGTTCTCTGTGTCTGAGTCTTTCATCATAGATGTGTTCATTTGTGCAGTATTTTCGGTTCCACATAGAAGTGATAGCATACGGTATTTGTCTTTCTCTTTTTGATTTACTTCACTTAGTATGATAGTTAATTGTGTCCGTGTTGCTGCAAATGGCGTTATTTTGTTCTTTTTTATGTCTGTAGTATTCCATTGTATATATGTACCACATCGTCTTTACCCATTCACCTCTTGATGGAAATTTAGCTTGTTTTCATGTCTTGGCTATTGGAAATAGTGCTGCTATAAACGTGGGAGTGCATGTGTCTTTTTGAATTACAGTTTTTTCAGGTATATGTGCAGGAGTGGGATTGCTAGATTATATGGTAATTCTATTTTAAAATAGTTTTCTGAGGAGCTTCCATACTGTTTTCCATAGTGGCTGTACTAATTTACATCCTTCCTACAGTGTGGGAGGGTTGCCTTTTCTCCATACCCTCTCCATTATTTGTAGACTTCTTAATGATGGCCATTCTGACTGGTGTGAGGTGGTACTTCATTGTAGTTTTGCATTTCTCTAATAATAGCAGTGTTGAGCATCTTTTCATGGACTTATTTCATATACCTGTATTTCTTCTTTGGAGAATGTCTCTGTAGTCTTCTGCCCGTTTTTTGATTAAGTTGTTTTTGTTGTTGTTGAGTTGTATGAGCTGTTAGTGTATTTTGGAAATTAAGGCCTTGTGGGTGGCATTGTTTGCACATACTTTTTCCCTTAAAAAGTTTTTTTTTAATTCTTTTTTTTTTTTTTGGTGGGGAATGTAGACCTTCAGGTTGTTTTCTAAAAATTCACAGCTGTTACAAATTATTTTTGTTACTTCATTGTACTGTTCACTATTTTAATTTTGATAACAAAAGCATCTTATATCAGTATAACTCTTTGTAATATATGCAGTACCCTTATGTATATCCTGATTTAGCGCTCATTTCAGGCCTGTGACATTGGCAGTGTAGCATTCCATGTTTATAACTAACAGAGCTTGTCAGTTCCTCAGGCTAACATTGTGAAAAATTAAGATAGTATTAACAATTGCATACTTACCTGGCAGGGGAAATACCATGATCACGAAGGTGGTTTGCCCAGGGTGAGGCTTATCCATTGCACTCCGGATGTGCTGACCCCTGCGATTTCCCCAAATGTGGGAAACTTGACTGCATAATTTGTGTTAGTGGGGTCCTGCGTTCGCGCTTTCAAAAAAAAAAACAACCAATTGCCACCATTCATTTATTTCAAAGTCTAAATTCTAAATTATATCCAATTCTGTTTCACACAAACTAAGCATGCTCTGTACCTCAGCTGAGTTAGAGTATTTCTCAAAAAAAGGAAAAGAAATTATTTGGTTAGAGGTATGCCTCCTTGCCTTGTTTTTGTTTTGTTTTGTTTTGTTTTTGAGTCATGGCCTTACTGTTTCTTTGGAAGTTGACCTAAAAAGTTTTGTTTTATTGATTTGTGTGTAGGATGTTGGGACATAAATTCTTTAAATTGTCAGCAGTGAAACTGTTCACACAAGTATGAATCCTACATCTGTGGCATTTGATTTAGGTGTGGAAAGGGAGGAGGAGGGGAAAAGCTGAGGAGGTTATATTTTTCACCAGAGAATACTGCTACTACGTCTATACTTTTTACTCAACGCCAGTCTCTGAAAGCCAAGAGACTGAGCTTTTAATGCAGGGAAGCTCTGCAGATCACTTAGTAGCCTGACAGTTCATGCAAGCTTTTCTGAAATCTTCTGTCTAATGAAACGATGGTTTGTGAAATCCTCTGGTGCTGTAGTCCAGTGTGACCCCTGATTTATGTGTGGAATCTGCTGAGTTGTGTTGAAAGCCAAGTTTAGTTGTTGATGCTGCAAAGTGACACTTCTTTTGTTATCTTAAGATGTTAAAAGTAAGGTTTTCAATGTGGATGTGATTTAAGCAACACTGAGTTCCGGAAGTGAAAGTAACTATGAGTGTATTTATTATTAGTGTCTGTGGGAATTTTTGTGACAAATTCAGTACTTCTCTAAAGGTGTTATGTATGAATCTGTTTTAAGTATATACACATCTGTAAAAAATTCTAAAAAGAAATTTTGTTTAGAAAAGCAAGAAGATGGAAAATATATTGGTATGATATTCCAAGGCATGTTTGAAACATTTTTAGACTTAAATGTTTACTTAAATAAAAACCTGTGGAGCTGCAAACATCCCCTTGGTTTGAAAATGTATTTCATCCTATCTGTTTTCCAGGTGATATACTTAAGTATCTTTTCTGTCTTATCTCCAGAAATACAAATTGTTATACTTTAAACAGTCATTCTTCAGCTAAACATTAAGAAAGGAAATATTGCGAATATCACTTTCAAAGTAGTACTTGTAGTGGGAAGATGTGTATTTTAAAATTTTTAAAATAGGAATAGCTTTACTCTGGGAAGGAAATTTGAATTTGTGGAAATGTGGATTTCTAAATAGGGAAGCCATTGATTAATTTTAAGTGTTAAACAGAAGGAACATTTACTTAGTTAAAAAGTGAAGAAAATAAAACACCTTCCATTGTAAAATTAATATTTGACAGTGGTTGCTGGCAAAGATAAATTATAAGTAAAAAGGGTGTTGCCTGGCATTGTATGTAGATGAGAAAATATGATGATAGAATAAATCATATACTAGATTTTAAAACCTCAGATTTCAAATCCAATAGAGTTGAAACATCCGAGTAACTCAGTGTTTGTATGTGCAACAATAGCAATGGTGAGCATAAGGAATTTCAGTGTCAAACAAAGGCATGTTTGTTTTCATAGAATTGGTTAAAAGAGATTTCACAGTAATTTTTTAATGGCCAAGATCTTTGATTCAGGGTGGAAATAAGCTTGTCAAGTAAATAGTAGCTGAAATAATGTTCGTGATGTTGTAAATATAACCCTTTGCTCTAATACTCTTGCTGCGGAAATAAATGAAACATACTTTTCTTTTGAGCTTATGAACCTTCATAGTATTTACTCACTTCATTGGACAGAGCCAATTGCAAGGCTGCTACTTCTTTGTTTCAGAGTTTGGGTGAGGTGAGGAAAGTTCATCTCTCCTTGAAAATGCATTCCATTTTCTGAATTTTAACTGTGGTGATAGTGTACGTTTTCTTCCTTCTTATCTTCTCTGAACGTATGCTTAAAGCTTAATGTGTCATTGTCCTGTAATATGTTAGAAGGCACGTCCTTTGGACTGTGTAGAATGAGGGTCCCAAATTCATGCCTTGTTATGGCCTATGTTTGTGCCATTGAACATGTATACATTAATCTCCATCGAAGATCTTCTATATAGATATAAAAATGACAGTCATTTATGTCTTCCTGATTTAGAGTCATGGCTTTGGGAAAAGATTTTACAGTCACAAAACACAATGCTCTATGAAGGCAAGGATTACTGTTTCCTTTCAGTTCTTATGTTACTAATACCTGACACTGAAAAAATACTTAAGTATTTTTTTGTTGAGTGACTTACCAGTTTATTAAAGTCTTGATTTTTTTCAGTGTTTACATTTTTTGAAATATTCTTTATTTTATCAGAGATTTAAGAAATAAAAGCTTCTAAGGATAAGTAAAGTAACTTGTTTTCTTTCCTTCTTTTTTCTTTTTCTAGACCACCTGTTGAGGCCCTGAGTCAAGACAACAATTTTTATACCTTTCCTGGTGGTTCAGAAACAAGTCTCTGTGGAACCAGAAACAAAGAAAGGAGATAATCTGACCTTTTCTTTACTAGATTGACTGTAAAAGATACTTGACTTCCAGGAACAAGCACAGAGAAGTAATAAAGTTATTATTTTGGCATCATTGGACGTTGATCACATTGAGAAGCGTGCTTTGTGAAGCTTCCTGAGTTGAGATTTGGAAACTTCATTGGTGCTCATTTATAACTTGGACTATCAGCATGAGTGAATTCTGGTTGTGTTTCAACTGCTGTATCGCAGAACAGCCTCAACCGGTAAGTATGAAGTGATACACATACAAATTGTGTGGGATACTTGTTATGCATACTGTTGATTCTCAGGTTAAGAATCAGGATCCAGTAGTGATTGCAGGGCAGTTCCAAGGCCTGTCAGTGAAATTCTAAACATCTGGCTAAAGAAAGAAAAAAGTAAGTTTGTTTTGAGTAAATGCTATAAGAACTGTGCTAGACTACTGCATGTGATTGAGAAGGTTGTAGACCAACTTCCAGTGGGCCGGTGAGAGGAGAGGGAGGCACCCTGAGGTAGGACAGCCAAGTCGGCTTTGGAATCAGTGGGTGGAGGATGGTGAGCCAGGATTTACCATCTCATTTTCCTCACAGCAGTTCTTTGGGGAAGATGCCATTATCCTTATTTCTCTGTAGACACATTCAGTTTTTTTTTGCTCTGAGTGGATAGTAAGTAGTCTTGGCTGACCATTTCTTGGTACCTGCCTCACTTTTGTCCCTTCTAACCTGCACACCTTTTGTTACCTCTACCAAAAATCTACCCTCCCCCTCCGGTTTTCTCTTCATCTTTTAAGCTGCCTGTATCAAATGTCAACTCTGTGAAATCTTCCCCAGCTTTCTCCTGACTTAGGTGAAAATACCTCATCAGTATTTCCACCAGCTCTTTTAGTTCATTTTTCTGTGGTAGGATGGAACTCCTTGCGTGGTAACTACTGTAGTCTCTTCTTTAGGGGCCCTGACAGTGTTTACTTTGTATCTTCAGGATCACATCTAATGCCTTGGAGAATGTGGTTATACAGCCAGCTGGTTTGCTGGCTGAATAAATGAATTTCTATTGTATTCTGTTTGGCTTAACATTTGTAACAATATGAAAGGAAGAATGAGGTGTAATCTTAAGGTCTCCTCAGATCTTTTCTGAGCCTTTCCCTGGTCATACACACACAGTTACTTTTTAATTTTCCTTATATATAGTTGTTTTTGAATGTCCTAGTCTTTAATGTCTGGCTCTGAAAAAGGGAAAATATGAAAAAGTGAGGGCAGGGAGGAGAAGAAAGGGCACTGGCTTTTTAAATCCTCTGGAAGTCACTTCAGCCAGAGGATGCGGGGCTTGCAACAGTTGGGGAGTTGCGCACCAACAGTGGCGGCCCGTCTGCCGGTCTGCTCCGCTGCGATCAGAAGCGGAGATGTTTGGAGGACAGGCTCTTTTTTGCCCACCCTGGCTCCCCAGAGGTGTGTGCACAGTGTGCAAAGACCACAGCTGTGGGAGGAGTGGAGCCCTGCTCTGCCCCTCTGCTGAGAGCTGGCGCTGACTAAAACTAGCTGCAATTAACTTTTCAAGTTTTACCCTGGAAGTTGCAAGCCTTAAAGAGACTCCAGAGTTCCAGAATAGATACAGCAGACAGATAATGCCTCTACAGTGGTGGTGGGGATACGATTCCTACTGCTAACTTCTCCACCATCTTCCCTTTTGCTACTTTTGTAATACTGTTTTTTTACATTTAGTTCTTTGATCCATGAAGTATGGAGAGTTGCTTTGTGTGGCATGAGGTAGGGGTCTGACTATTAAGTCGGCTATCTAAAAGCAGTTTATTAAATAGCCAGTCTTTTTATTAGTGATAGGAAATGTCACCTTTATTATAAACTACGTTTTCATATATTTAAAGAGACTACTCTTAAAATCTGTTCTGTTCTTTTGGTTACACCTGTGCCATTGCACCTGCTACCGTTACTTAGTATGTAACTTCTTTTTAAACTATTTTGATAAGTCCTATTTTTAAGCTGGATTGTTACTACATGGGTTTTTATTACTATGTTATCTTTTGTATTTTTTTCTTTGAATGAGATATATCATGCATCTTGTAAATCATTTAGGTGTTTACCTTAGAATTGCATTGTATCTAGATGTAATTGGATGAGAATTGACATTTTTCAAATTTTGAGCAATTCCATTGAGAAGCATAACATGCATCTTCATTTGTACAGATCTTTCCATGTCCTTTTATTAAGTTAAAATTTTCATCATGTGAGTTCTGCATATTTCTTGCTCAGTTTTTTCTATTTTTTTAAAATGAATTTTCATTGCTGTTCTGAAGGAAATTGTTTTGCTATTAACATTTCCTAGTGGATTTTTTTTTTTTTAACCATTTTGTAAGCACCAGTTTTGTATCCGGATACCATACTGAACACTTATATATTTCTTAAATTTCTCCATATAGTGACATTTTGTTTGTCTTAATTCTCATATGTAAACTTTTTTCCCTTTTGAAATCTTTCTGCATTGGTTCCTACTGGATTTTTTTTTTTTTACCATTTTGTAAGCAATTAATAGTTTTTAATACACCAATTTTGTATCCGGGTACCATACTGAACACTTTATATTTCTTAAATTTCTCCATACAGTGACATTTTGTTTGTCTTAATTCTCATATGTAAACTTTTTTCCCTATTGAAATCTTTCTGCATTGGTTAAGACCTCCAGTATAATGTTGAATAGTGTCAGTGATGGCTGAACATTCTTGCTTCTCCTGACTTTTAATGAGAAAGGTTGAAATTTACTTAAGAGTAAAATGAATATTTATTTAATAACCATTTACCTGTGCATTTGTTATTGTGTATAATTTATCATTTATGACTTATATTACCAATGATTGCATTTTCAACAATTTTGAAAGATTTTAGAATACTTGAATCCTATTACCATACTGTTTTCAGTATGCCTTGTAATTTTTGTTGAAAGTCATTTGTGATAATATGCTGAGTCAAAGAAACTGAGGGAAATAGGCCTGTAGTATTAGTTTTTGTGTTTACCTGTGTGGGGATTAGGCTTTGCTCACCCTTTGCTCTAGGTGTCCCAGGGTAACATTTTCTGCAGTGTCCTTTTTGTGCCCTCTTGTTTGGTTTCCTAAGTAAGGTCTGAGAGGTCCAGATCTTTCCATTGTGTTTCCCTGTATTTTCACACAGGAGCACTGTTGATATGTTGGTGAGATGTTGGAGAGGGGGAAGCGTGATACCCTGCCGTGGTTAGCTTTCAGCCTTTTAGTGAGCCTGCGCCCCCTGGACTGTGACCTACACAAGTGCCTCTCGGTTTTGTTTCAGTTTTTTTTTTTTTACTCCTTAGTTGAGACAGAAAGGCTCGAGGAGGCTGCAGTTGAATGTTTCCCTTCCCCAAAGTTGGTTAGTTTCTGATAAAACCCCAGTCAATTAGGAGCTGGCAAAATAGGTTTCTTTTGAGGGGAGGCTTTGTTAAGAAGAACCGGCAATTGCCCATAGTGCCAGATTGCAGAGGGCCATTATAAATTGGGCTTCCCTGGTGGCTCAGTGGTCAAGAACCTGCCTGCCCATGCAAGAGACGTGGGTTTGATGCCTGGTCCAGGAAGATCCCTGAAGAAAGAATGGCGACCACTCTAGTATTCTTGCCTGGAAGAGTTCCCACGGACAGAAGAGCTTGGTGGACTACAGTCCGTGGGGTTGTAAAGAGTCGGACACGACTGAAGTGACTGAACAGCAACAGTTGTAAACTGCTGTGAGAACCCTACCTGGGGCCTGTGTGTGGCAGTGGTTTAGGTGTGGTTTTTTGGTGTGGTCTGAGTCAGAGAGAGTTCAGGCAAAGTATCAAACCTCTCCTGATCTTTAGTTCACTGAGAATATAGAGATTGGATTGGGTGAAGTACTAGTTACCTAAGATGATGCAAGTTAGCCTAAACCAATAGTGGCTTAAAACAGACTTTTACTGTCTCACATTTTGACTTAGTTGGTGTTATCTGACTCTTCGCTACCCCATGAACTGCAGCCCGCCAGGCTCCTCTGTCCATGGGATTTCCCAGGCAAGAATGCTGGAGTGGGCTGCTAGTTCCTTGTCTATAACTAAGATGATGCAACTTAACCTAAACCATGGTGGTTTAAAACAGACTTTTATTATCTCACAGATTCTGTGGGTCAGGAATCCAGGCAGTGTGCAACCAAGTCCTCTGACTTAAGATATCTTTGAGGTGCCAGTTAAGGTGTCAGCTCAGGCCATAGTTATCTCAGGGTCCAGTGCAGAGCGGACCTGCTTTCTGGGTTAGTGAAGCAGTTATTGGCAGGGTTTCATTCCTCTCTGAACCCTAACAAGAGTCTTGGTCAGAATAGGGCCTCCGTTGCGTGTTGGCTGGAGGCCTCGCTGTTTCTCGCCACACTGGTCCCTCCATAGAACCGCTTACAGCGCGGCGACTGGCTTTCGTAATGTGAGGAAGGGGGCAGGCAAGATGGACGTCCGAACCTTTGTGACTTGCCACCACTTTTTGCCGTATTCTGGCCCATGAAATCTAGTTCACACCCAAGGGAGGGGAGTATACAAAGGCACGAATTCCAGGAGACGGGGCACTGGGACCAGCTTCACAGGCGCCCACCACAGATTCTGCCCGAGGCCCCGCCCAGCACTCACATTCTCTGCATGCTCTCTCTCCCCGCCAGGAGGAGGCCACGCATTCCGCTTCCAGCCCCAGCTTCAGAGACTCAGGCAAGTGCCTGGGTAGCTAGCTAGCTGTGACACGTTCTTTAACCGTAGCTAGCCAACATGAAAAATCTAGTCAAAGAGGAAAATCAATCTTATCTAAAAGAGTTAGACTGTGAAAAGAAGATGTTGAATTTGTTCTGTTTCAGTGGCATATCTCCCATCACAGTACTCTCCGGGTAGACAAAATACCCTTTTAGAGGAGACAGGGAAAATAGGCCCGTCTCTGTTTAGATAACGTCAGAATAAAGGCACTGAACCAGCGTATAGTGTTGTCGCTTATTTTAAGATTCTACCTTTCCCTGCTCTTTGCTGAAGGAGAAGGAGGTTTTTCTCTGGTGTTCACCTTGAGAACACGGTAGAGTTCCTGTGGTCAAGCTCGCGGAGTACCGGGGCCCTCCTAAGACAGGCCGTCTGAACTCCCCAGCTGCCCACACTCGTCGTCCGGTAATTCCTCAGTTACAGTTGAGGTTTTCCTGCCCTGGCTCTGCGTGTCCTGGAGGTTTCTGCTCTAGTGCGTGGTGATTTCTCTTCTGGC